TCTATCACTCTGGAGTCTGGGGAGCAGAGCATCTGTGGAACGAGAAGTAGCAATTTTGCCTGAAGAGCTCTGATCCTGAAGCTGAGTACGTAAGAGCCTAACAGCTATAGGTGCAAGGTTTGACGCTGAATCGAGTGTACATTCTCTTCACAAGATGCCAGTGGTGACAGACAGGTTTAGGTATAGGAAGAAGGGTGATAGCAGAGGAGAGCTTGCCAAAGAAGAACAAGGAGCTGCTTTCTGAACACCTGTGGAAGACAGAAAGCAGAAGGCCTGGGAGAGAGACAGAGTGCCAGTAATCCTCGGAAAGGAGGGAAGTGGCCCGTGTGAAAGTAAATGCCTTCCATGCACATCATGCTGAAGGATGGCCTAAGGGCTTTCCATGGCTTTGGGTTGAGTCACCAAAGTCTCATGGTCTGGATGAGATTAAGGATGATGACAATTCAGGCATGGTTAGTACTTTCTGGCTGTTTTAACTATTATTAAACAATATTGCCTTTCAGCTATAGTGCATCACATGGATGTCAAGGAAACATCATGGCCCTGCCAACCTCTGCAATCTGCCAGCTATGAAAGGCAGGAAACGTTTGGGTGCTGACTCTGACTCCACTGTGAGTCCACTTAGAATCAGACGCTTTGAAATGTCAGGCAAGTTGCTTAGTGCATGGTTGTGCGTTGCCCTGGCTGTCGAAATGGGGGGAAAAAAAAAGAAGTCTTTTACGTAACTATGTCGAAGTCAGATGAGTTAACATTGGTAGAAAAAGCTGACGGAAAAGTAATGGATTTGAATTTTCCTACACTGCTGGAAAAGGTGGAATCAGTGTTTAGATTTAGGTCTGCTTCTGTTTGGATCTGCAATCCTGTTTTTTCCTTATCTGTAAGTTAGGCGACAGTCCTCAATGCATAGGAAAAAATTAAAGATATTAATTTAGGTTAGACCCTGTCGCTTATTTGTAACAGATTTTGTATTGATATGACTGGCAACTTTTTCGTTAAATCAGTTACTAAGGTTCATATAGTCTGGAGATTAAAATACAGAACCTTCAATTATGAAGTTCTGAATTGAGATTTTGTGACTGGCTGTATAGCTTTAGGCAATGTACACTTCAGCTGTACTGTGCCATTTCTGAAATCTAGTTGTTATTGCCTTCACAGGAGAGATGTTTGGTCAGGAAACTTTCAAAGACTGTAGAACATAGGTGAGTTTTAGGTCCTACTGCAGTCATTCTTTCACATTGCCCTTCACACTTTTAATTGTAGGTGTGAAAATGATGACAAATGTGCCATCAAAATAAAGACCAAATACACTGTCTTGACGTGACTTTAGGTGCAGTGCTAAACAACTGGGTAGCCGCAAAACCTGTTTTGCGTAGGGTTGCTGTGTTTCTCCCTGGTGTTTCCTGAACAAGCATGTGATTTAATGCCCTGCACGAGAGAGGCTCCTGGGAGCTCTGGCCCCTGTGTGCGTGCGCAGCGCAGATGGTCGGCACGTGTGTGCTCCRTCCAGAAGTGTCCCAGCACACAGTGTGTGCACTGCGGGGCCAGGCTAAGCCTTTCCTGGGAAAATGTGCATATGTGCACACATTGCTGTGGCCCACAAGAAGCTCCAGTAAGTTTATTTGTATAAATAAGTGTGTTTAAGGAGTTTAAGGAATTACCTAACAAATGCGACTGCAGCTGCGAATGGTTCTTTGGGTGGTACTGGAACGTAAAATAGTATTTTAAAACCATAAATGAACTGAGATCTGATGACAGCTAAATCAGACTCAATCTAGTGAACTTCACTTAATATTTCAGTGCATTTAGGATGATTTGCAAAATTAAACTGCAACTCAAGGTAAGTGGATATGTCACCTGCTTGCACAATGAAATTCCTCCAGAAATGAACTTAAGTTACTGGAAGAGATGTTGATGTTCTAAGCAAATCCGGTTCCAGAATCACTGTACTTGTTACTTTCAGTTACTCTAACACATCTTTTAGGTTCCCAAATAGTTTAGGCCTTTCTTATTGTCCAGGGGAGAGAAATGAGACGGGAAAATTAAAGACAGCCTTTTCCTGCCTATCTCATTTATGCTTAATACAGCTACTGACTAATTAACTTCCAAAATAGGATTAGACTTTGAATCTGGACCATTCAAATCCAAAACAAAACAATGGAGGGAAACTCCAATCCATAGCAAAGTAGTGGGACCCCTTTTTAGTTGCATTGTAATAGGACACCTGCTGGTCTCAAATGAGGGGTCTGAGCATCTGGTGACTACATTTATGGCTTGTAGGGACATTTCAATGCTTTTTYGATCATGTTGTGCTATTCAGTGAGATGGGCAGGGCAGAACATCACTGCTCCTTCAACTAGCCCCAGGCCAATCATGGAAAAATCTGTGTCTTGCACTTGTGCAGGTACTACAGCTATTTCTGAAGTGTGGGTGCAAGCACTTGTGGAGGCTGGCATTGCTYTTCAGACCACAGCTTAATCTTATTTCTAGATATTAAGTTCTTCAGGAAATAAAAGTGTATTTCTTAGCATGCTCTTTTTTTCTGTATCGTGTACAGGCTCCTTATTTAAAGCCTCTTGCAATGTGACTGTCATCAGAGAAATTTTGATAGGATGGTCTTTCCTGGAAGAAAGCAGCTGTGTCACAATAAAGGCATTTTGAGATAGTTTTGCCTTTTTTTTTTTTTTTTTTTAGTTTTTTTTTTTTTTTTTTTTTAGCAGCCTTCTGGTATTTTGATAACAGTTGTTCACAAGGCTATTAGGAACTGCAATCCACAAAACTTATAAGCAGCTAAAGCAGTGTAAATCAGTCTTATCAAAATTAAATGTTTTTGTCAGAAAAATAGAAATTTTGGGTATACTTTTTATAGAAATGTAATRCAAGTAGGCATAAGAATTAGTTCTATTATCTGTGGTAAGAATTGCTTAAGACTGATTTTGGTCATTTGGATAAATATTCCTTAGCACTATTAGACCTATCCTACAAATATTGTCTGTGTTGTTGCATACCATGTGGTCTGGTTCTAATTTGTTATTTTATCTGCTTGGTTGTYTCCTGTTACCCATGGAAGGAAACATTCTTTGCAGTTTACAATCGTGGTGAATATATAGGAGCGTTGAGCAGATACACTGTAGATACAATAACCTCAGTTTGCCAGTGAACAAAAGCAGTTGGAGGAGGAATGCATACCCTGATTACTATCATTTGCTTTGACGTTTATCCTATAGCAGAACATTGATTCAAGCAAAATGATGTGGAGAAAGCTTGCTTTCTATTCATATGCAATGTGTCAATGTGAATGTTCATGAACCGCATTCCAGGTCTTGTAGGAAAGCAGTTATTACTTGTCATTTTTGGTCTCGATGGACTAGACACCCCAATAAAATATTTGGATCTGATTTGTCTATGTTTCCCGTTCTTGCACGTGGAACTTATATCAAGATAAATGAGTCATGCTCCTCTCTTCACTATGAATAACAACTACTCGAAGTGTGCTTTGCACTTGTCATTCTAGTCTGGAGTTGCAAGCGTGTTTTTCTCTAGAGGGAAAGGTGGGGCGAAGCAAAGGTAATTCGCATTGCTTTGAAGTGGCTCGAGTCTTTCCTCATTTTCTGTGCTCACGTTATTATTAACTGTTTCTTAGTTGTTCCTGTATTTAAAAAAAAAAAAAAAAGAAAAAAAGAAAAAGACAGTAAGGAGATGTGCGTTTTCCCCTTGTTTTACTCAGGCACAGATTTTTCCCTGATTACACCGTCTTACCCACTGTACCTGCTGTGCTGCATAGGCAGTATCTTCCCAACATAAAGCTGAATGGAGTGTGATCTCCCCCAGGCTTTAACCCTTTATTCCATGTCTACACTGAAGGGTACGAGGCGCTCCCCTACCGCAGGCTTTGCATGCACAACTGGTTTAGGGTTCCCAGGCTGAAGGACAGAAAATAAGTTGTGCAATCCTGGTCGAGACTTCATTGAAGCTGCAATATAACAGACTCCAAGTTTTTGTTCTTGTTTTTTTTTTTTTTTTTTTAACTTCATTATTTTTATCCTCATATTGTTTGCTATTTAAAAGTGCTTCCACAGGTCAACTTTTACAGTGCTGTTACAATAAAATCCCCCTAAGACATCCTTTGACATTATAGAAGTCTATTGCAGTATGTGTCAAAATTCAGACAGTGGTGAGCAGTGAGATGTGTGAAAGTGAATTCAGAGTGCAGCAAGAGAAAGCCTTTCAAAATGGAGTGAAATACAGTGTACTGTAGAGCACAGGAAGTAGGTAGTTCATTCATGTGTCTTCTTATACAATGCATATTCAATGGCTGAGTGAGAAGGGCTTGAAGCAAATCTCTCAAGCAGTATTTAGCACTATAATGTGATTCTAGTATGCGACATTTATTCAGCTCTCTTAGTTTTTGTACCAGGTAGCTTATGCAAGACCAGAGTAAGGYGAGTATTCTGCTTTTGTCTAATAACAGGACACATTCCTGTTCTGAAATGGTACGTTGGCATGTATATTCAATTAAAAGGTCAAAATTGTGAAAAGATCACAATGTAGTAATTAAGGAGCCTTATAATCATAAAAGCTCTGGTTATATAGACATTTAATCTTTAAAGTATTGTTATGAATGAAATACTTTGTTTTAAAATGTATTTGAATATTCAGTTAGCTTTTCAGTAATGTGGCTTTAAAGACTTGCACAACATATTTATATCTTCTTCACTGTTTTTGTTGATGATATGTTAAAAGTGGCGGAAAGTTCAAAACGTATAGTGTTGCTTTTTTGGGGAAGGCTGAAGAGATATTGTGTCTGAGCCCAAATGTTATGGAGARGGCACTTTGAAGTGCTAGCTCTCTTTCTGAATGAACCTGATACTTGTTGCTGTCTTGCTTTAAAAACACTAAACTTGGAAATAAATCATTGCTAGGTCTTCAGTGAACCATTAAGGCCAATCCTTTGTAATCATTTATTTTTATTTTTATTTTCTCATTTTTTTTTTAAATAACAGAAGTCAATGTAAGCTGCAGATATGCAGGAGTTTTTCATGTTGAAAAAGATGGTCGCTACAGCATGACACGAAGTGAAGCAGTTGAACTCTGCAAAGCTCTGAATAGCACCTTGCCAACGCTAGAGCAGATGAGAAGAGCTCATCAACTTGGATTTGAAACTTGCAGGTAATTCGAAATTTGTAGAAAATATAATATATAATGATAGGTCCGTCCATGCATACTATAGTGTACTAATTATAGTTGTTTTCATACAGTTATTAATTAAATGGCCATATCATTCTTCAGTTACATTATTTAGGTGATAAGTAAGGAATCTTTCTGCATATTTGTTTGCGCTTGGAATAGTAATAAATAGATCCTTGACTGCCTGTWATTTTTTTATCAATTATTCTGTAGAAGGTCTATTGCTTGCAGATAATGTTGAAAGACAGCAACTGATAGTATAATAAATTAATAAGGTAGAAGTAAAATCATACTATATCACTGACTAATTCATAGTGACAAGTAGATGCAAAGTATGCATAACTTTTTAATGACTTAATGTAGGGTCAAAGACTGCAGATTGTACCTACAGGATAGGGAATTCCCTCCTATCAATCAATAATAAAAAGGAGCAAATGAAACTGTGAGAAATGAGCTGCCTGTTTTGCAGTGAAATAATGGCCAAAGTATTAATGCATCCCTATAATATATGAATGGGGAAGTTTCAGAAAAGATTCATAAAAATAATAAAACTTACAAAATCCTTTTGTCAACTGATTTAGTCACCCTCTGTAATTTATGACTTATGTGGAAACTAACGTGGAGAATATGAACTCTTCATTGTAGCAAAATATAATGGGATCAATTGACTGGAAGTTGAGAATAGACAGTTGAGGACTCAAAATTAAGCAAGAACTAGTGCAATAAAATATGCAAAGACAGTGCAATAGAAAGTGCAAAGATAATTATTGGTTGAAACAACTTATAAGTGTTATAGTAGATTCTTTTCCACATCAAATTTTTTTGGGATTGAATATTTTTTCCAAAGAATATACTCTAGTTCAAACAGGAGTCAATCTGGGAGAGTTCTATGGTCCATAACTAAGTCAGACTAGATGAGAACGAGATCTTGCTATGCAAAATGATATATTATGGAAGTCATCCTAAACATTTAGGTGTAGAAGAGAGGCTGCATTCAGAAGCTATAAACATGAAGGTTTTTTTTTTTAATCTAGTAAGAAAGATTCATATTGATGAAATACTTCTGAGGTGAATAMATTTCAGTAGATCTTCAACTGTATTAAAAGCTAAGATAAAAAGCAAATCTGGGGAAAGTGGAATTGGTCTTTTAATTCACTGAAGTAGAGAAGTTCAGTAGATATTTCTCCAAAATTGAAGCTTTCATTATTGAATTTGCTTTCAATTGAGAGTAGTCCTAATATCAATACTTCTTGCAACTGTTTCACATGATGGTGAGAGTAAATATCAATTTAGTCAGTGGTATTTTATTAATAAATGCATGAATGTTCTTTCCCATTGGTTTGCAAACTCCTGAGAACTGAATAAAAGCTTCTCTCAAATTAATAGCTGTATTAAGCAGCTTGTTTGGATACTGTGGAAAGATGCATGCAGTGCTTTGAAGATAATGTTTAATGTGTGTAAATGCCAAGCACTGTTATTGATGACAGCCTATGGCACATTCATTTTCAACCATGCCATTTCTTGCACTATATTACTTGCACCATAAATTAGGGTACAATGAACAGAAACACCCTGGTGATGAGTGTTGTGGAAGAATCTTTCTTGAGAAGTGCTAGCATTGTTTAAAATACTGCCAAGTAAAGACTAGAGGCAATTCTGCACAGTGAAGGAAAATTCCTGAATGACCAAGTATGCAAATCATTTCCCTGACGTTGGCATATGAACGTACCGAGCCTTCTGAATTGCCCACTAGATGTGGAGACTGAATCCTGACTAAGCGCTTAATGGTAGGAATTTCTAGTGTTTGGCAGTTAYGAGAATTCTGCAATGTGGAAAGTCTTTCCTGAAGTTAAAATGGAAGAATAATTGAAGAAGGAGTAGAAGGAAATATAGTTCACAGTGAGGAGCTGCAGTTTGTCATTAGCAATACAATTCTCTTTATAGCTTAGCAGAGGGCTGAAATGGGTATATAGGATATATAGAAAGAGTTCCTTCCTCCCCTCCATCCTCCCACTGTCTACTTCTGATGATCATGTGTAAGAAGTCCTTGTCAGTTAGCCCAAGCTTGAGTAAGAGAGAAAATACACTGTATATAATACTCAAAATGCATTTGGGATGGAGAGGGTGAATGAGATTAATCAACTGACTGCAATACAAGTGAGTGATTAATAGATTATACAGTGTCAAAATCATAGGCTCAGCTGGAAATGTCAATAATGCAATATATTATTCCACCTCCAAGAGAGACTTAGAAATGCAAGTATCTGCATGGTAGACATGTAACTGGAATAGGGTTCAAGGATTTAAAAAAAAAAAAAAAAAAATGTAACTGGAATAGGGTTCAAGGATTTAAAAAAAAAAAAAAAAAACTTGCAAAGCTATGAAATTTACTCCTCCCTGTTAATTGTACATCTTAAAAAGCAAAACAAAAACCAGCCAAACCCTAGTTCTTGTTACCATTGTATCACCCCTCCCAGCTAAATACATTGGAATTAATCAGATGCTCCAGAGTTGCCAAATAGTATTAATACATTGTGCATAAAGTAGCGCTGTGAACTTCAATCCTCACTGCAATGTGTAAACTCTGTACACCATGGCAGTAATGGTAAGAAAATAAATGGTAAGAATTCATAGATGGAATTATATCTGAACATTTATATCTGAACATTTGCAATCGTTCTCTAAATTTGTTCTGTAAACTGATCCCCAAATATCTCTCTGTGAAATAACACTTAGCAATGTGTTATGCTTAAGGTAATGAAAATGTGACTGCCTGAAGAAGAAAGAAACCTTTCTTTAGTGTCAGGTAATGCAACTTTCTACTGAATAAGGCGTGCATTTAGCCTTGCAACCCCTTACTTTCACTGCCTTGATCTGGAACCTGTCATCTTAGCTAATAAAATACTTAATTAAAATAGGTTTAGCTCTAGAAATTACATGGAAAATAGTGTTGAGCAGTTGGAGACTAGCTATATGTGAAAGAGGAGCAAAGTTCACATACAAAATTATGCATAATTCATGGACATTTTTTAAATGTGCAAGTAAGATGAAAAGCTTTTTCATAGCTTCTTCATGTTTGAGATATCTCGAATACTTGTCTCATCTACTATAATATATAATACAGTGTGTTTTCCTGTGTTCACAGGTACGGTTTTATATTGGGGCATATTGTTATCCCACGAATCAATCCCTATCATCTTTGTGCAGCAAATCATACTGGCATTTACAAACTTTCAGCAAACACAACTGGTCTTTATGATGCATATTGTTACAATGCAACAGGTATGTATATGTTTTTATGGTGTATTTTAGATATAAATTAATTAATAGTAATATGAGTGATCTAATTAGGATACTGGAACAAAGGCTTCTATATTAAAATTTCATCTATGTTGCAACTGAAAATAAATATGTTTTGCCAATATCTATAATGCCAGCAACAAGTTTGACCTGCTTTATTGTTAGCGTGTTTGGGGGTATATACTCTTAGTTTGGGACCTAGTAGCTTTGGAGCTGTGTAATTTGAATAGTGAGATACCACAGCCATGAATCTAAAGGATGTAACTGTTGCAAGTAATGGCATTCAGTTCTTCTGTTCATACACAAAGCTAACTTCTATAACTAATAAAGATTTGTACAAATCTATGAAGCTTCGGAGCCTACAAGGATCTTGGCTTTCATTTTCACTGTCTGTGATGTCTCCTCCAAACCTACGTTCAGACATTAGGCAGTTACATAGTGATGYAGCTCCGAAGCAGAATTTTTTGAGTTTGGAAATATCTTGCTAAATTATTAGCAAGCTGTAAGTAAAGTTGTGGCAGATGGTAAACACAGTATTTGAAGGTAAAAACTATACTAACTTCTGGTGTCTTGGATTTCAGCAGATTATTGCATTCACAGTGGGGAAAAAACAAATCCTACAGAAAGCTCAAGGCAAAATTCAATGAATATTTGAATGGTTCTGGTACTTCTGAATTTTATTCACAGTGGACATATCATGAGAAATCATAGTGTTACTGAGCTGTTGATCTACGCCAGAGAACTCAGTCAAAAACAATTCATAGACGGTTTGAGGCAGGCAGTAAATCTGTCACGCAGAGGTGCCTATTCCCTTGGGTGCAGGGGCATCGGTTCCCACTGGAGCTTTTAGCCCCTTCTGAGTCCTATTTCCTTCCTGAACAGATGACACACACGATAGAACCAAACCAGAGCAAGCAGAACTTACCGATCGGGAAGGTGTCCTCTGCAGCAGACCGCAACCAAGGACAGGGGGTTCCCACAGCTGGAAGGGTGTCAAGCTGCCACTGCTGCTCTGGCACTGGGGCTCTCTGCAGCAAAAATGAATTATTAAAGCTTTTTTTAACTGGTGTTGACTTTCTGGAACAATTATATAAAGGAAAAATCTAGTTAGCCAGCAGAGCAATATTGGAGTGTCCCATCAAGGGAACAGCATAAAGGAGACGTAGGTAGCAAAAGATTTGGATTTTTTTTTTTATTGTTCACTTGTTAAGATATTATTTTGTTATTATGTAAATTCTGCAAGTTTTCTGGGAAGTTTTCTGAACTGCCTTCTGGTTTGGGATCAAACCAAACACTATCGTCTCCAATAGTAGCCAGAAGTTCTAATGCTTGGAAAGACAATGTAATTTGGGAGTATATCATGAATATTTTGTAGACAGGTCATACCAATAAATCTTTGAAGCTACTTAATATGGTTTTATAAATGTTTATTTTAAAATAAGTTTCCYGATATTAATATTTTCTATTTCACTTCCTTTTCAGAAACTAGAGATAAGACATGTGAGCCAATTGAAAAGCTAAACACCTCTATGCTCAGTGATCGCAGCAAAATAGGTATTGTATTGATTAGAAAGACCTACCATTTGTTTCTTTCTCAGGATCTGATTTTTGGTTTTGTTTAATTATATAAAAATGTGTGAATATTATTTATTATTTTTAAAAATCAAGCCAAATATAAGAAAAACAGGGATGTTGTGCTCCAAGTAAAGCAATTAATCACTCATCTTCCCTTGGAACTTAGTTTGCCTCGAGCTACTACTAACAAAGATTTTATATATATGTATATGTATATATGTATGTATATATGTCAAATACCTATAKATAGTAGTACCTATATAGTATATATAGTTTGACAAAACTTTGGGCTTCTGACCTGTCTTTGACCTATACGATTTTGCTTAATATGACAGCTCTGCTCCATCCTGCTTAAGTTGCCAATTAGCAGAGTAACTGGAAGTGAAAGAAGACTCTCATAATGAATGACTTGTCCCTGYTCTAAATTAATTCACAGCTATTTCTCATTACTTTTATTTATTATAATGCTTAAGGCATCTATCACAGTGAAATATATCTATGTAGCTCCTAGATATTAACAGATGTTTAATTTCTCCTTCCAACAGTCATTGATAATGAAGACGGCTCACGTTATAACGCGGATGGCACCCGTCATAGTGGAGATTCCTCAACCTCAGGTGTAGATGACGAAAATGTAGGTAGTGGTTCAACACACGACACAACTGTAATGGATACCAGCATCAGAAGATCCTCTAGTACTTCGTATCTTGAACATACCACTCCAGTCTCACAGTTGCTAGATCATTCTTCTGGAGGGGGCGAAAAGGAATTTTTTCCAACAAATACTGGTAAGACTAGCAGTTTGCACTGTATCCTCTTTAAAATAACTCAGTGGGGAATTATGTTGCTAGCGAAATGATCTCATGAGGCTATGAGAACTAGGGTCTCTGAACTGTAGCTCTGTGTAGTAAAGGGAAAGACTGCAGGTCTGGAAAACAGAAGCATTCCAAATATCTAGGGACTATTTTTGTTTACCTGAGAGTAATATCTAAATATCTAGGGACTATTTTCGTTTACCTGAGAGTACATAGCAACTGATATCAGCATAGATTCTCACATACACCTTCCCAGGATGATGATAATAATTAGTTCTAAGCAATTACTCTTGTTCTTAAAATACTGATATTGATTTCACTAGAAAGATCAAAAACAAGTCTAGTAAAGGACACAGGTTAGGGAGGCAGATCCTAGAGATAAGGATTTTATTTGTTTTCTAATAGAATGAATGTAAGACTTGAATTTAAGAAATAAAGAGTAGTTTTCAGTACAAGTAATTTTTTTCTCTGTACAAGTGCAGTGGGGTTTTTTAGAATATATTCTTACTTCAGCATACTACAGAAGATAGAAGTTAAAATGCCAAACAAAAATATTATTAATAGGTTCTTCCCCCCAGGTAAAAATCCCAATTCAACTCCCATGAAGCCCCACCAAATACAAATTCCATAGTCTTTCCTAGGGCATTTTGGAGGGTGTAACCAAGTGCGGTATTAGAATATCTTGCCTATATTTTCCTTTCTTGTGGAGGTGACTTTTTTCTTTTTTATCTTTTAGTTTGCTTTTAGGTCATTTTCTAAATGTAGTTTACTTTGTTGATCTCTGAACACAGGCTTTTTATCAAATCATTCATTAGTCACATAAAAGTGAAACATACTAGTAGTTTACATTATTGTAAGCTGCTGCATAACTATTGAAATTTATAACCTTTCTTTGAGCCAAATCATTAAGAATATAAAATGACTTGTCACTGCTGGTGATTGCAGGCACTTTATGCTTGTTGTTTTTTTCCAGTGTAATGAACAGCATGACAGACAAATGCTAGTATTTTCCTCCTGAGGAATTAGTGCAAGAGCCATTCCCCAAAGTATACGTCATGCACTTTAATTGCTTGCAATGAGAATTCTTGTTACCTCTCTTTACATGCATGGCTTAAAAACCAACAACAACAAAAAAAAGTACAAATAGCTTCATTCAGTGCTTTGGATTCCATGTCCAAATGATGCACACTGGCAGTGAGAGCTTGTATCACCTGAACAAACTGTTGTCAGAATTTTCATTATCACTGTAAAATATAATTTTCTTAAAATAATCTAATTTTGTGATAAATATACTCTGTTAGTAAAGCAAGGGTAATTGGGACTGTACTTGTATGAAGAACCTGTCCTKGCTCTTTCTCTTCAATTGGACCAATAAATGCAGAAATAGGGACTTGCAATATAGCATAAAAGTAGTTGTGAGTATAMTGAGTTGCAGCTCAGCTAATGAAATACTAACAATTTATCCACTTTCATACAGATTATGAATTTCCTACAATATCATCTGACATGCCTTCAGTGCCCATAGCTGATGATTTCCCTGAAAAAGGAGATGGAGAGCAGCCTGCAAGTACTAGTAAGGTTTATGTATTATTATAACTAACTCAAATATATATATGGTGTTACAGCTGCTTTTTTCTTCCAGCAGGGCATTCTGGTAAGTGGGGAGATAYATATTATCTCCAACATTGCAAAAACATGGAAGGACATTGCTTTCTGGAGTGGCTGAATCAGAAATAAACTTTACTGTCTAGTGAGAGTCACTTATTCAAGGGACGAGGGGAGCCAAAACATTTATTGTTATTTTAATGTTTATACAGGATTTAAGAAAGTATTGTCGTTTTACTTATTCTGTTTCCCATTGCCTTTTTATCACATCTATTTATTCTATGAGACATCGCAAATTAATGCAACCAGCTATCATTTGAAATTATGATTTTTATTGCTTTCAGAAATAGGAAGGACATTTTGATCAGTTTTGTTGAGYATACATCTGTTTGTCATTCTGATTGGTTTACAGTTGTGAAGGTAGATAATTCCATGTCGTRATCATGGCTTTGCTGTGCTTTAAGTGGCAGGTCCAATTGCCAGCCTACTTATGCACTGCAAAAAAATGAACTTTGTTGGTAGCAAGAGGTACAAGAAAATTCTGGGCTTGAAGAGGTTTCAACATAGTCTCAAATAGTTAACGGTGTTTAACTACAAGCTGCTTTTTCCACTTGCCCTTAAAAAGCTATGCTGAGTGGCAAAACTCCCATATTTATATCTGCTATCTAGTGCACAGCAACTACAACAGATAAATAGAAAAAAAAACTCCAAACTTTTAAAAAATTCCACTCTTCAAAGTGGAATCATAGATATATTCCTATTATGTTTCTACGTATAGGGAAAGGTAATATCAGATAGGCACTGCATTACCAGTAAGATACACCMGTCATATTTGAGTTTAGTGCTCATCATGTGTTATCTAGTCTTCTTCAATACGAGAGACACAGAAAAGAAATCTAAAGGAAATAACACAATGTTAGATAGTCCAGTGGGTTACCCTTTCAAACTATATGTTGCATGTGCATTCAATAATAAACCTTCTCATTAGTCAAACTCCAGGAAGTATTTGTGAAAAATCTTACATTCTTTTTTTAATAAAGACTTAAACTTTGGTAGAAGAATCCATGGGATTTTTAATGAAATATGTGTAATTACATATCTATAAAATAGGAATAGTATATGTGTGTGTATGCACAAATGATGACATTTATTAAGTCTCTTCTGCTGGTCATAGTGATACTCAACCAGAGCATATCTATATGTCAAAAATATGTATTTCAATATTCCTAAGAAYTTTCTTTTTTTTTAACACATTATCCATCATTCTATTTTTGAAATAATTTTGACTAATTTTGATCTAATTTTGGACATTGACCACTGTAACCCTCTATTTCTGAGTAATAAAGAGTAGGAGTAGTACTAAATTTAAGGAATAATAGGTGACCATTGGATGATAATACGCTTTTTTAGTCAGGCTGGTTTTCATAGAATCAAGATTTGCTGGGCTTTGCTGCCAAAGTGACCACTCTTAGAAAAAAATGCAGTTCTGTGTTTAATACGATGCACCTTGCAGTTTACAGGTAAGAAAAAATAAGTACTGCAAAGTGAAGAAGGTCTATTTGTCTTGTTYAGTTTTTTGAACTTTGGTTTCTTTTGCACTTTCTAATGCTTTAATGTATTACACAAAAATGATTAAAGAAAGAAGTGTTGTAGAAGTCAATCTTGAAGACTTTTTTTTTCTGAATGAAGTTTTGAAGACTATTCTACTGAATTAAGAAAAAGTCCATATCTCTCTTCCTCTTCAAAATATAGAATATAGTTTTAAATGCTGATAAAAATATTGCTTGTGAAGAATTGTTCAGAATACAAATATTTGCAGGAAGACATTTTGAAGGAGATTTTGCCTGTCTTTCGGYGAATGACTTGTGACACGGCTCTTGTTGCAAGCTCTGCTTTTTAGTTTCAGTGCTTCATAAGGTTCTTAGCAGAGAGAGCGGTTAAGGTGGCTTGCCTGAGGGATTTCATTTTCTATGGTGTGCATGCTTCTGTTAGACTTGTGTGCTGTATTTAGAAAACAGTGGGGGATATTTCATATTTCACATTCTATCTTTCGCAGCTATAAAATCTCTGCAGAAATCATTGACTTTGCTGGACTTTCRGAGCTGATAACACAGTCTTATACTTCAGTAAGGTGTTTCAAACTTGATGAACACTAAAACCATTGGGTTTTTATGTTCTTTGAGGAATGTATTGATACCATGGGGTTCATACATTCGCTTTGCGCTCGCTTCCGTCTCAGTGGCATGAGCATGCTGAGGGTGCCGGTGCTGGTGGACTTGACTTTGCTCGAGGAAAAGCACCTCTCAAGAAATAACAAGTTCTCGGTTGAACAAACCATGTCCTAACAGCTCGGGAGCCTCATCGTGATGACCTGGAGAAAGCCACCACCCAGGCTCCGTGGAATCCCTTCTTGCACCAGTGGTGGTGGTCAAACCCCAGAGACAAGGCACAAGAACCAACGCAAGCAGCAAGGGGTAAAGAACGTCGTGCTAAGAGGGGTGTTTTGTTTCGGGGCAGAGTYTCCTTGGTGCAGGAAAGCAGCAAGTTTCAGAAGCTCTAAGTGGAGGGGGCCTTGGCTGTGTGGTATTTGCTGCTGCTTTTTGTTTTGATTTGTTTGATGGGGATTAGAATCTCTCGCTCACTACACATTTCACATTTGATAGACATGGAGCCCCTCATTTAGCCTGGCAATGACACACCTCCTGAGGAGGTTCTCCACCAATGGAGAAAGCAAAAAGAACTTCTGTATCAGTCATGTAGATCCCACCTGTGACAAGGATTCAAAACGTCTTTCCTCTCTTTAAGGGGGCAGAGAAAACATGCTGTATGGGCTATAAAGTGGAAAATAAATGAGCAGCATTTTATAAACMACTTACCTTTTTATTTGCTTAGCTTAAATCAGGGAGGAAGATTTGAGGGGGAAAAAAAGTAGTAGCAGGACATGTGTCTGATTTTTTTTGTTCTTTTCTCTTAAAGAAGAAATGTGTACATTTTTATTGGCAATAGTATTCAATATCCCATAATAATGAAAGCTGTGAGGAGAAAAAAAAAAGAGAGATTTCAAAAGTTTTCTTTTCATTCTAAAAATAGACATGTGATCCTAGATCTTCCCTGTCATTTAGGAGTATGCAATTGACCTTAATTGCTTTTTCCATAGCTCAGCTATAAGGGAGAAGGGTTTAGTAAATGCTGAGCTGTGTTTTGGGCATTGAAATATAGATAACAGGTACCTTGGGGTAGGTAACAGGGCTGTGGCATTGTGGTGAATCCTTTATGGGACAGAAGAACCAGAGGAGAAATGGAGTAGTGGCAAGCAAGGATCACATTTTGTGTGTGACTTTGGCTACAGGCATTGCAGGGGAAAGAGGAAAGTGTAGGTGCTGTCAAATGGCAGCCTTGCAGGTTAGGGCTTCATTGCCAATTTAACATCACCACAGCAGATGTGACTTCAAGTGGCAATGGTTCAGATGACGAAGACTCTTCAGAGGAGACATTTTACTCAACAGTGTTTCCAGACCGGGATGTGACTGTGGCCAAGAAAGAGTATTCTYCAAGTACTAGTAAGGAATTCCCTTTATGTTTTTCCTCCTATTTTTTCCCTTTGCTCTACCTGACTTTTATCCTCCTTTGCCCACACCCGTATTGAGGAAAGAGTGATGACTCTTGTGATCTGCCGTTGCTTCAGAAAGTCCTGCCATGCTTTGGGGAAAATTGCTTATTTAGATCTTGTGGGTTCCAATTCTTAAAAGGAACTTCTACTGCTGTTGGAATTGATGTCCTGGTTCTGTGTACAGTAGTTTTGTGGGCTTCCTARGCAGGAGGTTGTCTCCCAAGTAACAAATCCTTTCTGCAGGGATCTTCCAACCTGTGTACATGTGGCACAGTAAAATCTGTTTGCATGCAGATACCTGTTTAGCTTGCCTAGCACAATGGAAGAAATGGGTGTTGTTTCTTTTCACTTCTCTAAGTGAAAAGCTATTTCCATCCTTAAACATCTGTGACAAACCTATGGAGCATACTACTTGAAATGTAATGTTATGAAAAAATTCTGTGCAGGAGGAGGGATATAAGAAAAGTAGAGGTCTGTCTTTCTTTCCATRACGTGCCTACGCCTAACAAAAATATTTCTGGTGTGGATTTTGCTGAGAACATCTGTTTAGCGGAGTGCATGTGTCTTTCAAGGGGAATGGCCAGTGTTCTGAGGTCTTTGGTAGCATTGGCTTSATATCATTGTTGGTAGAGAAGAAGGCTGAACTAATGGGACTGCTTGTTTCTGGGTGTCTTTTCTGTCTAGTGTGGACCTTTCTTACACCTTTTGTATGCATTTTTATATCAAGACTCCAAAYGGGATGTTCTGAAGGCTCTTTGAGGCTACCTACTCTCTCTCCTGCTGGCCTGTGTGGAATTCATTAACCTTAGTGGATCTCAAAGTCTTACCAAGATCTCTAGAGCTTTTTGTCAACTTTTCCCTATGGATGATGTGTTTCTGGGAATGGCCCCTAGTGCCTTTCTCTGGCTAAGTATTTGAGGAATGTATTGATACCATGGGGTTCATACATTCGCTTTGCGCTCGCTTCCGTCTCAGTGGCATGAGCATGCCGAGGGTGCTGGTGCTGGTGGACTTGACTTTGCTCGAGGAAAAGCACCTCTCAAGAAATAACAAGTTCTC